TCTAAAGAGAAATTGATGTTATAAACTGACTTTGATTGATGTTATATGAACAATTATGGATGAATTTATGTTGTATTGGTGGTTTCTTGAAGAATTCCCCATTAGACCCATGTTTCTCCTTCTTTTCCTAATTCTAACCCTAGTTTGTGTTGGATATTGATTGAAGGCTATGAATTGATGTTGATTATGTTATTACTTCATGAATTACCTTGTATTATGTATTGGTTATGAATTGCTTGGTAATTGAAGTATGGATGTCCCACGAAGGGCAAGAAGGTATGAAGGTTGGTTCTTCTTTGAACTCAAGTATGAAAGGTGAATTACTTAGATTGTAATGATGTTATACCAAATGTGTTATTGTGGTGTTGATGATCTAGTTTCCTCATCCGTAACCCTCTACACTTTAATTAGCTATGAAGTATGTATGCATATTATGGTATGATTGCTATATGATTGAAAGGTAGTTCTCATGATTGTAGTGAAATGTAAAGTGAAAGGTTTACTCACTTGCTAAGTGTCTCCAAAGTGAAAGGATTGTTACTCACTTATGAACACATATGAGCTATTATGGTAACATGTCTACATAAGGGTCTATTAAAGGCTAATGTGAACTTATGAGATGACTAAAGATGATTACAAAAGGGAATCAGATGCTTAGAACTGTAAGGGCATGTAAATGAGATGGGGGTCTCACGTTTAGTAAGTCCGGCTCCCCACATGCGTTTCCTCACATTTAGCAAGTCCAGATTACCTACGATATGTGTTGTCTCATGAGATGGAAACCCCCACGTTTAGTAAGTTAGGGTTTCTAGAAGTAATCTGCTTGACCCTTCACTATGTGCCCACATATGACTCTAGCTTAGTGGATCCACCTAGATAGCTATGTACGAATGGTTACACCTTAGGCAAGTGTTTACCCTCTCTTTTCGATGTGGGAATAGAACACCGGATTCCATGTAGCTCTCATGGTCTATGTCGATTATTTTCCATCTATGAAGTGAAGTTGAACTTCCAAAGTAAAAGTTTTAAATTTTCCGTGATTTTATTTTATGAAACATGTTATGATGAATGCTAAGGGCTTGTATAAGACCTCTTCGAGGTCGAATACACCGGTAACGACTAGGGGGTGCTCTCGGGTCGTTATAAACTTGGTATCAAGAGCATAAGGTTGAGAATAATGTAGGATTCGTGTCACAAGATACCACATCGAGTAGAGTCTTGTTAATGGGTGTGAAGCGCGCCACACTTATGAATGAGAGGCTACGAGATGCTTAGGAAATTTCACTCTTTTGTTATTCCATAGTCGTGCCTAAGAGTCTTAACTCTATTTATCCCTTTTATTCTATTCCTTTTCTTGTTCTTATAGGCAATGAATACAAGAAGGAACAACGCAAGGAGCGCCGGTGAGGAGAATGCGAATGAGGTGGTTCCCCCTTAAGCTTCTCAAAACCCTGAAGTTCCTATTGAAGAAGGGGCTATGTCTAATGTTGAGATAAAGTCGGCTATTCATAATTGGACTCAAGTGTTGGCCACTGAAGTTGCAAGGGATGCTAGGGTGCAAGTGAAACCCAATGCTAGCACTACCGCTTCAAGGATAAGGGATTTCACAAGGATGAATCCCTCTACTTTCTTTGGCTCCAAAGTGGAAGAAGATCCACAAGGGTTCATTGATGAATTGTTTAAGGTTCTAGAGTCTATGCGTGTGTCTTCTCTAGAAAAGGCGGAGTTAGCCGCCTATCAAGTCAAAGATGTGGCACAAGTGTGGTATGAACAATGGTAGGATGGGAGACTTATTAGAGAGGGTCCGATAATTTGGGCTACATTCAAGATGGCTTTTCTTGATAGGTTTTTCCCCTTGCAACTAAGGGAGAGGAAAATGCAAGAATTCATCAACCTCCGTCAAGGGGGTATGAGTGTGAAGAGTATGGCCTCAAGTTCACTCAATTGTCCAAGCATGCTCCTACTTTGGTGTTGGACTCTAGAGCTACAATGAACAAATTTGTTATGGGTGTATCCGATCTTGTGGTGAATGAATGTAGGTCGGTTATGCTAATCCCAAGCATGGACATTTCTCGCCTTATGGTTCATGCCGAGAAAATTAAGGAGCAAAAGCTTAAGCGAGTTGGTAGAGAATTGAAAAGGTCAATGACCGATGACGGAAATTCTTCTAAGGTTAGGTTTGAAATCCAAGATAAGCCAAAGTTCAAAAAAAGGTTTTCCAACCAAGGTCCTCCTAAAACTCCAAGGGTCAACAAAGGTAAAGTGTCTACCCCCAAGCCTCAAGAAGCAAGAGGTGGTGGTCCTTATGTTGAGAAGCCTATTTGTACAAAGTGTGGTCCAAAACATGAAGGCAAGTGCCTAGTTGGCACGGGTAATTGCTATGGTTGTGGTAAGAGAGGCCACATGAGGAGGGACTGCCCTATGCTAAAGGCTCAAGGAAGGGAAAATGCTCAAGTACAAGCAAGTGGCCCAAATCCTGATACTCTGAAGAAGAATCGCTTATATGCTCTCCAATCCCGAGGTGATCAAGAGAGCTCTCCGGATGTTGTGACCGGTATG